CGTCTCTAGAGAACGAACAAAAACGCGGTGACGGCACGAAGCATGTCCCCACACAGCGAGTCCATAGGTTAGACAATTTTTTGTTCAGTATTTTTTCGAGGTGGTCTTCATGGTAATGCCAAAGTAGTTTGGAGTCAACTTTTAGGCCCAGGAAGCTGGTTTCGGTGGCGTAATCGTTTGGATAATACTTCAGGATGAACAACATCTCGACGCTTTTTTTTTGTTTACCTTTAAGCTATTACTGTTGAACCAGTCGGAGGCCCTCAATCGAGTCTCCCGGCCACAGCTTAGTACTTTTCCTATATCTTCTCCTTTCGTTGTAATTGTGGTATCATCAGCAAATAATAGCACATTTACATTTCCTATATACGCGGGAAAATCATTTATGAATATCAAGAAAAGTAAAGGACTTACGATAGAACCTTGGGGTACTCCTATTTGTAGGGGTAGATCATTAGATGATTTACGATTGGCTACAACTCTTTTGAGTACAGTTGGTCAAAAATGAAGTTATAAGCTTACAGCTGTTTGGATGGACGTTGTAGAAAAATAATTTTCGTAGTAGAGTTGTATAATTGACACAGTCGAAGGCCTTAGACAAAAAGTCAAGGAATTCTACCGTCACTACTTCGCCCCTGTCAAAAGCTCCCAATATATTGTTGGTAAAGGATAACAGTGCTTCGGTAGTAGAACGACCTGATCTAAAGCCAAATTGGTTATCTGTAAAAAAAATTTTATCTTCGAAATACGCAGTAAGTTGTATGGTCACAATTTTCTCCAAGACTTTAGAGAAGACTGGTAATATCGAAAAAATATCCGTTCGCAAAACTCCCGCACTGTCAGAATGACATTCTGTTGGTATGAGAAATAATACCCTAAAAGATTTTTAAGTTTATATGATTACCGCCTTGAATTTCAAATTTTCAAAATTAATGAATGAAAAATCAAATGTTTATTAACTATTTTAACTTTTTGATTTGCTGAAGTGTTCATTGTGTTTAAAGAACTTGTCAGTAATTCAAACAAATTGTAGCACCAGTAGCGTAGAAATGGACAGTAAGGTCAAAAATATATATTATTCAAAAAAAGCTTTCGTTGTCGTTCGTGTGTCATACTCTTTCTTTACTTGAATTGATAAAAATCTTCAGTTAATGTGCTTTTGATATTTTTATTTGACAAGTTATTTTTAGTTACTAATTTGTCACTAGATTGCAATTTTGCAACATATTGTACAGGTTTTTCACATCTCACCACTGAGTACACTCAGGTCATTTTTTCCAAATCTGACACTGACAGTGCGGGAGTTTTGCGAACGGATATTAGGTATATAGTTGTTTTTGTCATTCGCTTCACCCTTTTTATATATCGGGATAACTAGGCTCCGTTTCAGACAGTTTGGAAATACATTTGTTCTTAAGCACATATTCATGAGTTTAGTTAACGGGCTAATTATAACATCAGTTATTCCTTTCAACAATTCTACACTCATGCCATAGATGTCCTTGACTTTTTTTGATTTTAAACTACGAAGGATATCTATTACGTGGCAAATGGATGCCTCACTAAAGCTAAAATAATCATAATTCTTATCAGTATCACACATGTTTTGAGACATAAACATTAAGGGATCACCTGTAGGAGGTGGTGTACTATTTATAATATCACAGGCTATATTACTAAAATGATCATTAAAATGATTCACATCAATATCACAGTTGGATTTATTGATAACACTACGCTAATTTTTTGAATTGATAACAGTCCACATATCTTTGTTTTTGTTTACAGCACAATTAATAAATTTGTTATTTGCAGCAGTTTTAGCCTGTTGTATTGCCTGCCTATAGTGCGACCTTAAGATATTTCGTTTCTCTCTTAATTCGCGAGTGTTATTTGTACATTTGTAGAGATCGTCTATATATTTTAGTATATCCCGCATTACACATTTTTTGAAAGTTTAAAGAACATTATTAATAGAGCTAAACTATATATATATTTTTTTGTTTTTGTTTATTGTGCTATTATTGTGTATATATGTATTTCCTGTATTTGGGCTACTAGCCTGTAGGAAATAAATTTGATTATTATTATTATTATTACATACAATTCTTCAGTAAACCATTTAATTTTGACATGATATGGCTATATACAGTTGGGATGACTCTTTATTGGTCCAAATAATATTTTTGCGATAGCAAATTGGTGCATCAGGAATCGAGTCTTTCTTAACATTTGCAAACGTTGCGTTGTGACTTTTAAAAAAAAATCGTCGCCGGATTTGTTCCCGTACAAGTGTAACGACTTTTCAATTGAACGTGCCAACTCCTTCAAAGACTTGGGTGTTTTGTTTGATTCAAAATTCACTTTCATAGAGCACATTAACGCCATTGTCGCAAAATCATTCAAGATCTATGGTTTTATTTACAGAAATTGTAGAGAGTCATGAAATTCGTATATTATGTTTACTGTATTTTTTCCTTGTTCGATCCAAACTTCAATACAACGCTGTAGTTTGCTCCCCAATATATCAAAATCATAATCACCATCTCGAATCTGTTTAAAGATCACTTTTAAAATCTCTCTGCTATAAAATAAATGGAGTTTATCCAATTCGTTTTAGCACTCCTTAATTTAATTTCCTGTTGTATTAATTAATTTCCTATAATTGGGTGTAAAAAACCTGTTGCAAATACAGACATTATTATTACTATTATTAGTTACTAAAACCAAGAGGTAAAAAATTGGTAATAGTCTACCAAAGGAAGAGTTGAAGGTCATTTTACAAAATCAAACTATCCTCAACAGAAGCAATTCTTCTGAAGTCTTAGGTCGTCAACATATCACAAAACGTTTGAATCGACGTTTTGACAATGTCATTTATAAATATGACAAACAGACGAGGCCCCAACACAGAGCCCTAAGATACTCCTGACGGCATATACATCTTTCGAGATTCGTATTCACAGTATTTAGCACACTGCGATCTAATCATAAGTACGACTTGAACAAATAAGGTAAAGGCTTAGAAAAATCAGTAATCATACTTCAACATGTAGGTTTAAAAAAATCAAAATTATAATTTTTTTCTATTTAGTTTACAAGCTACGAAACTAATTCATTGAAAGTTTGGATGACTTTTAGGGTATTGTAAAAGCATCGTAAAGTGCTAATGTGTTCGTACTTGTCAAAAACTTGATGACGACATTTGAAAATTTATTTATGTCAATTTCATTTCAAATTTATGGCATGATCCTTTATTTGTAAAATCATAATGCTAGTTATCTAATCTGTAGAAACAAACTTTAACATGCAAAATATATTTTATACAAACACTACTACATTATGCCACTGGTGTTAAAAGTGAATTACTTTTAACACTGGCGTTCTATGTAAAATTGTTCATAAAAATCAAAAAAAATCCACCATCCATTTTATTTTAACTTGCGTATGTCGTCATTATTTGTTTATGTTCGTCATCGCTCTGATCATGGAATAATTCGACCACAGCCTTGAAGATTTCCATATTTGGACTCTGTTGGAAGCGATCATGTACTGCAACCTCGACTTTGTCGGGAGCAAATCGAGGGCAGCTTTCCTAGCTGCTTCTTCGATTTCCTCGAGTACTGGATCGTTTTCTTCATTTTCTTCAGTATTCATCCTTGTAAACGTTTATGCAACGTTTTGTTTCTAACTAACTAACAAACTTCGTTTGTACAAATTAATAATAATAATTAACTTAATTAGTGTATTATATTCATGTTAAAAGTGATTTTATTTTGTTCTCACTTCGTTCGTTCCGCTAACTTCCACACTCACAAAATACAATTTCATTTTGAACACGTTTATCGTAAATAATTATTTTATAATTAATTTAATAACAGTTATTTTATACTTGCGAAACAACAACTAAAACTTATTTATTCATACCCTCTAGAAAACTATGTATATCAAAATTTACTAGGTAAATATTTATTACAAATTGTGCTGCAAGATGCAACGTTACGTGAGCCTCCAGTAATATGTTTTATTATTTTAGAACTGTTTCTACAGGATGTTTAATAAATGTAAGAAAGATTTCAATATGTTTATTTTTATCTGGAGGTGTTACAGCACTTTTTGTTAGGAGTGCAAAAGGTGATATTTTTCATATTTAGTTAAACAAAGCAAGAGTCAGTTTCCCACGCAGTCGCAAAAAAACAGTTCACTGTTACATATTAAGTTGTTGGTATGTTGGCAAATAAAACATTAAAAATATTTTACTAATTAATTTATTATCCGAACCATGTCCGGTTAGGTTTTCCTAGGTTAAAACTTACGCAATAATGGTGATTAATATTACCATCTAATTGTTTTCAGAATACATATTTAACAGAAGCTCAATAGCAGTAACGCAGTTATCACTTGACTATGGAATTAAAGTTTGAAATTTTTTCTAAATCATTATTTATTTCTTAGAAGAGTGCGAGTAAAGCTAATTAAAGCATTTAGGAGTAATAATCTCAGCAGCTAGTGGATAACGACTTCACAAAAAAGTGTTATTAAATAATCGATTAAACTACGCTGACCTCTCTTATTTTATTAATCTTCGTGTTTAGACACGCGGAACATTTTATAATGATAAACCTCCAGAGGAGTAACATCCACCTCAGCCCTGACGTGTCCAACAAATCGTCTACGTGTCCTATTAGGTGGCCACATTAATAATAAAAATAATGACGCAATTATTATAAAATAGTACGAACGAGGTGCGCTCTAAATCCGAGTTCGCCAGTCCACAAGTCGTCACAATCGCACAAGAAAATCATAATTATTACATGAGTGCATCCGGAAGTGGCACTGCAAGTCTGTAATTTACGGCAAATCGATTTGATTAAAAAATAGTCGATCTTGAAAGTTTTATCCCGGAGGCGTGTCAAGCATCTATTATTCACGTCAGCAATTGGTTACAAATAATTTTCCGACGTTTATTGGCCGGCGAAGCAATATTTACGAGTACGTATCGACATTTCAACAGTGGCAATTTGAGTGAGAGATCAGTCGGACCCCGGGCGCAAAAGTGCACCACAAAGAGATACTCCGGGATGTATCTGATAATACATACGTAAGCAAAGTCAGCAACCGAAGGGTGCTGAAGATGCGAGCTGAGCGTGAGCAAGGTGGAAGAGCAGCGCAGAGTTAGAGCAGAGCCTCATAGCTCAGTACAGCGATGACCGCGAAAGAGCTCGTTTCGTACGCTGCCAGCCCGGAACCGGAAGGCCGCAAGGATGCCATCGCGTGCCCGTGAACCGCCAGCGTAGCCGCTTTTCGCCTCTTGCGAATTTTTTCAGTGGGAACCCTGTGCGAATTTTCGACCTCTGTGACCATTCAAATTTAATTGTCGTGCTAATCCTGGACACCTCTGACGACTGTGTGGACAAGTTGTGACGATTCTCGAAATGGATAATAGTTCGCCAAATCTGTGCTCAAGACGTGCAGGATTATAAATTTTTTGTGTCATTGTGTGGTGTTGTGATTTATTCAGTGTTGAGATGTAAGGATGACATGCCAGTGTTAATGGGGTTGATTTGGAGAATCCTTGCCATCTATTTGGTGACCGCGCCTCAGGTGTCTCCGAACTTCAATGGTTTGGAGGATACCTCCACCCCCAACGACCTCGATAAACCTGGTAAGTGATTCTTCCTTAACGTATAACTTGCGATGTGATAAAGCGGCCCGAATTTACAAGTTCCGACGTTTACGATATTATTCTTTTTATCCGTTTACGACGATGTTGATGGAAAACCTAAACGTACTTGGCGTTTACCCCCATCATAATTATAAATGTGTGCTAAAATCTCTTCGGTTTTTGTCAAGGGCTTATTAGGAGTACCCGTAATGACACTCGTGTCAATTTATTAACGCCCATTGTTGTTGTCGTTTGATAATTGGAATTGGTTTAAACGTTTGCAATGTGGTATCAGATGAAAAACTGTTGACAATTCAGCGGGTAATCGGAGCTTTTATGGATGTATTTGAGGGCTTGCAGCAAAATGAAATCTATTTCCGGTTTTATAACATTTTATTGATACGTTGTAAAATCTTAAATTATCCATTTTTGTTGCCAGGTTACGGTAATAAAATGCTTTTTACACCTTGTAAAATTCTTTCTTTGAATGTCTACGTATAAAACGTTTGTTTATTAGAGGTGTTACGCATTAAATTGCCGATGAAGTCGTAAGGTACGCTGGGTAAATTAAGTCCATATTATGCTTACCTAACCAAATATAATTATCCCATTATGTAACATTTGAAGTATACTAAATAAAAGAGCTCAGTCATTGTAATTTAAATATATGCTTATAATTTAGGCATTGCATGTATGAAAAATAATGGTGGGAAAATGTAGCAAATATTCATTAATATAAATGAATTAAAGAATGAATTAATGAGTGACATTAAAAAAACACTACTGCGATTTATAAAGAAAAAAACTACTTTATTATAAATCCTGACATATTACGCGTTTTTTCCAAGCAGCTAAACCCTGTTATCAAAAAAAATTTCCTCTACTAATTAAATTTTTATGGATGATGAAACTTGTCCCATTTTTCATAATATATATCTATCGATTTTGTTATAAATATATTTTCTCAAAATTGGGCCCGATGGATTTTTTTTTCTAAAAATTACCACAAACTGCTCTCGAATTTTTATAATACGGCAAACTGTCATCTTTTCTCAGTTTTTGTTTAATACTAAATACACTACATATTTTCCGAATAAATTAAGCAAATTCTTACTAAAGCCTGGAGAAAACCTCAACCCTCCCGCCGGTTAAGTTGTTCCTACTTGAAAAATTTTGAAATTGAGCTGTCAAGTATCTGCAGGAATGTTGTATTAATCTTTGCTTATATGTTGAAGATGTAATTGAAAAACAAATAAAAATATATGTACATATATAAATCAAGTAATTTTTTTTCAGTTTTTAAAAAATACAATCTCAGTTTATAAATTCATTGTAATGTAAGAACAAAAATATAAAAATGTTGCATTAATAACGGTAAAAAAAAACGAACTCAAAATATGGAAACAAAATTCTTCATAATAATTACTCTAATTGCAATGAGTCTTGAAAGTGACGACGAAAATAAAATTCTTGTTACGTATTTTGGATCATGACTAAACTTTGGCCAGCGTTACAAAAACGAATCGAGTGGTGTCAAGTCTCTATGGACTGACGTCTCCCAACTCCTACATTCGGGACACTAAGTGTTATCTAAATAGTATCGAATGTCATGTGAGGTGGACTACCATCTTGTTAGAACCAAAATTGGGCATCAGGTGTGTCCGGATTTTCATTTTTAAGAAATACGATCGTCAAAGCAGGGAAATTGGGCGCGGAATTTAGACAACCTTCCAGAATTGACTCGAATCGAATATCTGCAAACGTATCCTACCTTTCTATATTTTGTTTTAATAACTTTAGATTGTACAACATGACTTGATGGCCTTCTCAGTTCTTCACAAAATACATCGAAAAATAAGCGTGTATTTAAAAAAAAATCAGTTTACATTTTTGAAATTTTCTTCTTTTTTGAAACGGTTAAATTTTTCATGCCTATATACAGGGTGATTGACAAACCAGCTTTGACGTTGTAAGTTGCTTATTTTTTAGCCGATTTGAATAAACAATACACACAGAAAATCGTCATAATTTTGATATTTTCTTTTGTGGACTGTTTTCGACAGATATCAATCAACTTAATTTTTTTCAATGGCACTGCATATATTTTTTATTCCATTGTAGAGATTTTTCTTTTTTCTTAATATGAAAACTGTACCGAGTATAGGCATACTTTAAAAAATAATCGACGATTGAAACAATTAAATTAAATCTAGTTACCGAACGCAATGTAAAGTGTTTCTAGGTGTCTGGGGCACCAGGGACGAAATTTTGAACAACTTCCACAGATTTGTTGTCCTTTCTTAAACTTTCGTATTTTAAAAACAAACCTTTACTAAACTAGACCAAAAATTTAGAGTGTAATTTAAAAAAACAAAGCGGCAGACGAAAGGGTATTTTTTCAATAGACCGCAATGAAATATTTTTAAAACGAACATACAGTATCAAAGATTTTTTTTGTCAGTTAGTTTGCCCCTCTTTTTAAATAACTATGCAATAAAAAATCTCATTACATAACCAGCAGTACAATTTCGAAATTTCTCGGGTTCATTCGAAAACTGGATCGACCTATTTTATCATTTCTATCAAATCTTATTCTCGACCTTTGAATCAAATTTATTATTCACACACCGAGAAACACCCGAATAACTTTGTTTAGCAAACGTCAGCAATATTTTAAAAATAGCCCTCCCATCTGTCGAACTGTCGTCTGTCTGTGTCGATATTTATTAGACATAATCTCCGAAACTACCGGGCCGATTGTCGTCAGAATTTAAAAGTATCTTAGAAATATAGTGAAGACGGTGAAACACTAATCAAAATTTGTCTGATCATCCCCACCAACAATATGATAACATCATTGTAAATATTATTTAAATTGTACAAATTAACATACACGTGGAGGTTACAAATCCGTTTTGATTTTGTACCTTATTGATTTTCCTATTTAAAAAAAAAATCAAAATTGTGTAATACCGTTTTACAATTTAACTTTGAAATTACACAACCGAATGCTCTGAAATCTTGCTACAAAAAAAAAAAGTTAAAAAATAAGCAACCAATCAGATTTAGGAATATAACTCGTTACAATGGATGTTTGGAATTTAACACTTCTTAAATTTAACAAGTTTTACAAGAGTAATATGGACAAAGTTAGTCTAGTCCTATCAATTACTAGCCCCGCCCACCCGCCCCCTATTTTTTCAGAGGATATGTCATTTGCCAAAGTAAGTCTAACCTCAGCAAGTAAGTATTTTGCTTTTTTTCCTAATATACACAGTCATCTTTTAACAACAAAAACTTAAAACATGTTGGTAATGGAAAATTTTTGTGGGGAAATATGGTTACGCCTTGCCCCTCGGTTTTGCAACGAATGAACAATTCGTTACGAGATTAAGTCCTACCCATACTTGCCCCGACCTCAATAGTGATGAAGTTTTGATTCATTGTCAGACCGAGGGGCGGAGCGTAATTGCAAAATACATATTTCTCTACAAAAATTTACAATTTTAAACACGTTTTGAGTTTCTTGTTGTGAAAAGATCGCAACGTATATTAAGAAAAAAAAGCAAAATTTAAGCCCCGCCCACGCAATCAAATATTTCAAAATTGTCAAAAATAACAAGGCGTCAACATTCTTAAAACTAACAAAAAAATAACAAATGGGATTAAAAGTCTCAAGAACAAGAAAAAATATGTAAAGTTTTTATTTAAAAAAGTTAAAAATGTCAAATAACTCAAAAATGTCAAATACCAAAATCTCTACAAAAAAAATTGACTGCTCAAAACACGGAGTACGTTAAAAATGCCATAACCGCTAAAATGACAGAAATGGTTAAAATGTGAACGATGTCAACTACTCTTCTTAAAAACATCCAGACTGCCAAAAAATGGATAATGTTGGTTTAACATGTGGTTTATCAATGCATTAATATGTTTTTAGAATTAGTATATCGTCTGATGAATTAATTAATGAGGAAATTTATTTTATTGATCAAATCAAGAACGGTTCACGCCGTTTTCTCCAAAATTTGGAAAAAGAATACAGTTTTACACCGCATCTACCCAAATTGATATTTGTTTTTGTTAAAATGTATGAAATCATCACATTTCATTTTTTTTAATGTAAAAACTCACTTGCGATATACCATATATATGTTTATTTTAACTTATCTTAAAAAATAAAATTTGCAAAATCAAATTTTATAATTTTTCGGACGATTTTTTTTTTAAGTTTTAATGAACAAAAAATGTTTTATGATTTTTTCTGGACGCAAAATTTACTCGTGTTTACCATTATTCACAGTTCTTTATCATTATCATCGGCTCTATTTGCACTAAATTTTGTTGAAGTTACAACGTAAAGAGCGAGTTCCTTTTCATACTTCTTAATAAGTAACTATTTTTCTGTCAGTTTTTATAATCATAAATATCTTAGAACAATCAGGGCGTTTTTTTATGATGCGTTTATGAATTATTTGCCCAAAGCTTGCTTGCGTATACGTAAACTGCGTCGGAATTATTTTGTACATAATCGCTCTGTGATTAGTCGTGTAAATCCGAGTTACTAAGAAATGAATTGTTGAGTTTTACCCACGTCGATTTTATTCACCGATCGACGTAACAATACTAAAGTGGGAATGGTTTTGAAAATTTCGTCAAGTTTAACCGCGTTTTCAACCGTGTATTAAATATATAACTATGAAAATTACATGTAAACGACAACTAAATTAATCAGCACTCATTATTTCGATCACTCGATGCGTTTAAGTAGTTTCAATAACTTTGTAGTTAATTAATTATTAATAGATACAGTTTTTATTCACCAAGGTTTGTAATAATTAACTGTGAACCCTCTTAACAGCACTTTATATTTTTTAGATAATAGTGCAAATGCTGTGCAACGATTTAGGTATGGAAAATAATACTCCTAATAAGTATTACATACATTACATATTCAGAAACGTTTCCTGTAAATCGCACTAATTTCGTTAGTTCAATTG